TGACCCGGAAATATATAGCCCCAGAGAGAGAGACACCGGAAGGACAGCAAAGCACAGGAAACTAGGGAGAGGACAGAGTAGGAGCGCCCTCTGGCTGCAGAGGGAGTGATACCTAGGAGCACAAATGTATTGATACATAGAACTGCTGAAAGACACACCATTATTCTATAGGAAAGCACAAGTCATACTTGTACTGTATACTATAGCTCCCTAGGGTCTGGTGAGGGGATTATTTAGTACATTTTGAGCAGAACTGATAAACTGAAAAAGTACATAGTAAATTTTAACTGAGGGTTTTGAGCAACTGCTGATATTTGGAAATACATTCTGCTCATCACTATATTATTAAAGTTGCTTATCTGATGAAAACTTTAAAGTGCTGTGAACTGCAGGTGTGACTATTATGAAGTACTTAATTATAAAAAATAAAAGCAGGTTATAGTTACATTTATCATGCTTTATATGTTATATTCATTCTTTCTGCATTCTTCTTGGAAAGCTGGCCCTGGTATTAGTGTGTGCGTCTTAGTATCTATGTGCGTGTCCTGCGTGTCCAGGACTGGCATCCTGAGCCTGGTGCTTGCTATGGATGGGTGGATAAAAGTGCTTTTTGTTTATCATGACCGACAATAGTTGGTTCTATCAATCAGTTGAAGAAACGCACCAAATTCAAGAGGAGTTTGTTCACTGAGGCCTGGAGGACCTTTGCACTTATATTTTATTAGATAATACAAGTAAGAAAAATGTTCCTCTACTCACAGGTGGCCCAGGATCCCCCTGGTGTCCAAAAGGACCTGTTGGTCCCTTCAATCTCTGAAGTGTAAACACAAAACACAAAGCTGAATGTTAAATGTAACTAGACTACAACTACTACTAATAATAGAGAATCCTATTAGATACAACCACATGCAATGAAATTCTATGACTTTACTGTACTGTGGCAAATACAGCTTGTCTACCACCAGCATTTGGTCACTATCTCTCAGGCACCTCCTATCTGCGAGCCACACAGAGTCTTCACCAAACAGCGATGAATTTTACTACACCAAATGACTAGTCTCCCTTGAACGGAAAATTCAGTTGACAATTTGAGGATATTACCTTATACTTAAGGGCTAAGACTGAAGTCCTGTCACACAAGGACATCAATCCTTCTTTCCTTTTGCCCTTCCCCCAGTAAGCATTATAGGATCATAAAGACATTAACTTCCAGATTCCGAGACAGTTTCTTCCCACAAGCTGTCAGATTACTGAACTCTACCCCTTGCTCACACAGGTGTTTTTCTTTCTTACACTGCTTGTCTGACATTTTTAAAACTGTATCTTATTTAACTTGTTGTTTCTGCTGCCATTCTGTATTTATGTTTTTGGTGATTCCTTTAATGTCTTTGTATTGGAGCTTACATGCATATAAGCATTTCGTTGCACATGTGCATACGACAAATAAAAGGAACTGTGTGTCCTAGCTGAAACCTACTCAGTTCATGGATACCTGTCCTCATGGACAAATATCTTTAGAGTTAAAATAGTTATTTCCACAATAGGATGGAGTCCTACTTACCGGCCACTTGGTGATGAGCATTTTGTAAACTTTATTTTTCTGTAGGAGAGGGAAAGGGACTATTTAGCAGTATTTCAACCACACAGCATTAGAAATGTAAATATTCTATTATAAATATAATATTCTTCTTCAGCTGTGGTCTTGTAGTCTTTATGTAGATGCAGTCTTTTTAGTTATGATGTTTTAATGAAACACTTGTATACATTCTGTAGAAAGCACATATATTTTGGATATTATACCACTGGCAGGTGGGATAGTGATGTCTTAGGGGTTATTCACTTATTTATGTAGAGAATTTTGGGAATGAGGAGGACTTGATAAACCAGTTTGATCAGTGATGAATTCATGTGGTTGCACAAGCACTTTCTCATGTAACTTTTTGTCACCATGCAGCTCACCTAGGGACGGATTGTGTCTGGCATCAGGGTTTCTTTTTTTGGCCAGAATATTTAACTAAAGGCTTAGTTAATCATACAATACTGTAAACAAATAATAACACTTCTTCAGGAGACACACCTAAAGTCACCAATAATAGTTTTCTAGCCTAAAAACTAAAACAAATCATCCAACACATAACAAAGAACCAACCAGCGGAGGCCTCTCAGCTTTCCTTTTAAGTAGTCCTTGATTAATCCCTAATGAAGTTCTGCTGTGAGACCTGGAGGGGAAAGTGCTGATGGGTTTATCCTTTTCTAAGAAGCATTTCCATCCTGCCACTGGAGAACTCCTGGAGCTCATAGGAGGCTTATTCCAGCTGGTCCATGGATCCCTCCAAGACAGAAGCCTTCGGCCCTGGTTCAGGAGAGCCCTGGCCAAGTAACTACAGGGGTCTCCAGCCCTGGACCTAGAGAGTCCTTGTACAGTAATAACAGGAATTGCCAGCCCTGGTCCAATAAGTACAGAGGTCTCCAACCATGGGCCTAGAGAGCTCTGGTCCAGTAACTACAGGGGTCTCCAGGCCTAGTCCTATCCTTTAGGTCACCTGTTTCTAAAAAACAATTAATATGTTCAATTAAGAGACATTGAGGGCTGATGTGAACTTATATTTTAGTCTTGATCTATAAACGATTTCTTAATGAATTAGTCGCCTTTAAGGGATTAGAAATAGATTGTTCCATATCTTTAGAAACTGGTGGGCTCTTCAGGACAAGGGCTGGAGATCCCTGGTCCAGGGACCTCCAATACACCTTTGAAATACCTCGTGATATGTTAAATACAGTATTTAAGTTGTTCCAGACATAGTTAAATACTGGAGTACATACATATAAGTTCCAGTAAGTATACAACATTAAATATGCTTTTAGACAACAGTTTGTTACAATCTATTCCATTGACGTTTCTTCTTTGAAAGAAGCTTGCAGTTGAGATCCAGCTTGGCTCTGTTATTACAAAAGGCTTGTAGAAAACTCTAGTATTTCATCTTGACCCAGCAGCCACTGGAAATAATGAATGGTCTAAAAGTGATGGTCCCTTCATTTCTGACACTGGCTTGATTAAAAACATAAAATCATGTTCTCTGTTTGCCAACAAAGCACTTAGGAGACCTTCTACTGATCTATCACTCTAAAAAGCAATTTTAATTATGTTCAGTGTGATTTGGCAGCTAATGTAAACATTAACTATGGAAGCAAAACAATAAATTTATAGCATGGATTTTTACTGAAAACCATAATAGTCACAGTCATGTATATGGATGTGATATCTCTGTTATATTAACTGAATATTCCTGCATCCTAGCAAGACATAAAGATTTCTGTTAATTATCTAGGCAGTTAATAAAGTAGAAATTGTAATTACCACTTGCTAGATCAAATTTATGTTCAATAAAAAAATATCACTGCCAAATAAGAGCTGTTTTACAGATGATACTTACTGTAGAACTCTTAGTATATAAGTTAATAACCTAGTTGGGAAGGAGAATGACAGATTATCTGTTTGTAAGTGTATGTGTTTGGTTGTTTAGAATTAAATATGGACCACGATGTTTCTTCAAAAATAGAATAAACTATTGTGCAACTGAGTATGATTTTCGAATACACAGAATGTCTCAGGGGAAGGTCAATAACTTTTCCTGTTGCAGTGTGCAGTTGAGGTACAGGGACAATTAAAACACATATAACTAAGCACAACCCCCCATGATTCTAACCAGTGACCATACAGTAGTTTATGTTCACAGTGTACTCTCGCCCACCTTGAAGGCTTGCCAGTCTTCCTCAGAGGATTTCCACACTATGATGGATGGCATGCCAGGTTGGCCCATTGGGCCACGCTCTCCGGGCCAGCCGGTCTGCCCCATCACGCCCGGGTAGCCCTGTGTGGAAAGGGGAGGTGCCATCAGCTGCAGGGGCAGTATGAGGTTCAGCCACTGATCCACAGCCTGAGTGTATTTCTTTTACGCCTCTGGGACTGTGGTTCAGGCCTGACTCACCAGTCAAAACATAAACACAAATTAACATGAAGAAACACTGCGTCTTTTGCCCTCAACCAGACATCGCGAAGAAGAGGTTTCCTGACAAGGGTGTTACCTGGAATTACACACAAGAGCAATGAATTACCCCATTTTGATATTTGTTTATTAGTCATCATTAAGAGTGAAGTGTTTTAATCACTTTTTCGTTGAAACCAGTAACTAATCCCACAGAACACAGCACACACTCTCTGAATGCTCTAGGTCAACGGAAAATCGGCAATTCTAAATTGTGCCAGGAGGACCGCAGCCTTATTACAGTGAACAGTTGCATTAAAAGGTTTCTGTGCCTTGTGCTTTTACTGTATACATTTCTAAAAATAAAGGGCAGCTGCCCTTCCCAATGTGGAGGAGGCTGGTACAGGGATTTCAGAGACAAAATAAACGATGTAATGTAAACTTCAAAACCATAAAAGAAAATTAAGAGGCCATAAAAAATTAAATTCTCTGTGCAGAATCATTTTGTGACTCGCTGAAAATTTAAAAATACTTTGCTTGTTTCCATTTATTAAATGAATCAGAAGAGGCAGTATATTTTGAAATAACTGGAAATATACATGTTAAAATATATTGGAAATATTGTATATCGCATTGGAAATAAATTTGAAATAAATTTCAAGTATAAAAGAAAATTAAAGAAAATACAATTTGAACTAAATATATTTTACATTACATTGAAATATATATGTCTGGTATATTGCAAAATATTTATTTTCCGTAAAGGTTCCACACTGGTATGGATTAACCGTGACATGAAGACATGATTGCACCACAATAGCTATCCTTGTCATATTAGAACTCAATTTATCAGAGCAAATGGCATCTTCCCATCTTGATTGACCCAGGTTAACTCTACTTGCTGCCCAATGTTAATGTGAAAATCAGTGGGAATGATACAGTAAATAAAAACTTTGACCCTGCTAAGGTTTAGACAGAACCTTAAACCATGCTGTGACAGATGACCCCTGCATACTGCTCTCCAAATGATAATCTCTCCAAATGACATTCCACATGTTGTTGAGTCTGTTGCACACCTGTCATTCAGACTTGGAAATAATCATTTTTCAGGCACCAAAACATTCCCTGTGCATTTATTTTGGATTCAGATTGGCAAAAACGGATGTGAAGATTTATTGTATGGCTTCCTTTAAAGGATTGTCTCTGCTCTTTATTGCTCCTCAGTAATTGAAAGTAAGTGTATGACTTACTCTAGATGGGATGAAACAATCACTGAAAGCACTAATTACAAATATAACAATGAGAAATGAAGGAGAAGTATCTGAAATTGGGTATTTTTATAAAAAAGTATGGTTTATTATATATTTTAATTATTATTATTTTTAAATATTTTGTGACTGATGCATAGGATGTTCTGTTCTGTCCGTTACGTACTTTATCCCCTTTTGGGCCAGGTGGGCCAGGTTCTCCTGGGGGTCCTGGTTGTCCTCGTTGTCCTGGTTGTCCCTGCAAAACACCACAAGAACAGCATGATGAAGGGGCATTCCCATTCCATGAGGACCATGAACAGCTTGTCACTCCAAGCCTTTATTACTAGTGAGCTACTGTATACTCATATCTTCTGTGGATTGATAATACACAGACACTAAATGTTCTCATGAACCCTTGCATGTCTATCTTTTATGATGATTTGCTTGGTGGCTCAGTATTTTGGGTACAGCGCTTTTCACAAAAGAAGTTCCAGTCGTTACAGGCAACCTGGAGGAATTTGACACATGAGAGACAGGGAAACTTAGACATGGTGGTATTCCAGAATCTAACTATGATGACAATATTGAATAATAAATCAATCTAACAATGTCATTCTCTTTTCTGACAAGAGATATATTCATTTTTATATTAGTACTCATTACGCTCCTAATTGAGTCTTATTTACAGTACAAATCATCTCTCTTTAAGGAGCTTATATGGTCTCTTCTCCCAAATCTTCTAACAAAATCTTAGGCATTTTAAGATATGTTAGTCTTGATAGACCTGCTTTTTGCTGTTCAGAATGTAGACTTTTACAGTAGCTTGGTTGTTGCATGGATGTGTACAGCGGTCTGTGGAGACTCACCTCAGAGTGGAGCAATTATAGCAGGGCTGCCACTAGGGGCCACCTTGGAGCTAGTCTCAAAGATTCATTGGACTGTACAGAGCGCGTGGGTGTGAGGTCCATAGTTTGCCTGTTTCTGTCTGAGTGTTAAATTGTATGAGAATATGGGATAGTCATGTGGGATTTGTATTTGTAAAAAAGGGTCATGGGAAAAATGGAGAGAAAAAAGAGCTTGGAGTAGCCCAGTTTTTTCTTGAAAGAATGAAATGAGTTAATGAAAGTTATGGACATGAGGTCCAAAAGGAAAACACTTTGTGGCTAAATAACAAGGAAGTCTGCATTGTCCCACCGAGAAAATTTGTTTGTTTGATGGATTAACTGCAACACGTCATATTTGCTGCTCATGTATAGTTGATCATAAGTTCTTGTGATCAGGTGTGATTAATGTGAGTTAAAGATCACACTGACAACCTAGTTTTTTGCTCCCAGAACTGAGATTAATTAATTACATTTTGTTATAATATTGGAATAAAATAGTGGAAACTATGGAACCAAATGAATTAAGTGGGAACTTTAAGAAGGTCAGATTGTACAACCCAGAGTGGAATTTAGCCAGGGATGTATATAGTGCAACACCAGGGTTAACACTGCTCATGAACAGCGCCATTAGAAGATTAAGGACAAAATAGTTATTAATAAGAAGTTAGGACTTCACTTTAACATTTTAGCTGAAGGACAGCCCTTCCTACAAGCACAGTATCCTGCGGTTTTAATATTCTGTGGTCTGGAGCCAAGATCGCCACCTACTGGTCCACCAACACCACTGAGGTCTCCATTTCCAGTACTGGCTATCCCAAGCCTTGCTTAGTTTCTGAGACCTTACAAGATCAGGCCACAAGGCGGTAGAGCTGTTGCTGAACTGTGATGATGTACAGTATGGCAGTTTTTCCTTTTCTGAAATAAAGCCAAACATTAGATAGAGGAAGATAGGCTATCAATAAAACTGTGATCCCTGTCCAGTGATCCCCCTTTCTTCTTCTCAAAAGGAGCCTTTCAGTTGAATTACTTTTATGATATTTGTTATGTTAATCATTTAGCATTTTGTAATTTATAATATCAGTCCAAAGGTATTCAGTATTTCCTATGGCATCTTGTCATATTCATAATAAATGAATAACATAGTGCTTTTCTGGACACTCCCAATGCACTGGGATTTTAAATGACCATAGAGACTCAGCACCTCTGTTTTCTGAAGGATCTGAAGGATGGTGGCTTTTCACAGTATAGTGTTCCCATTACATCTGTGTGGGCATTAGGACCCACACAGATCCCAGAGAGAGTGCTCCCTACTGGTCCCACTAACACCTCTTCCAGCAGCAACCTTAGCTTTCCCAGGAGGACCAGCCTTACACCTGCTTAGGTACAGCCGATTACCAGTTGTGAGTTGATTTCTGATATAGCAGTTAGAACAAATTAATCGCTTAAATGTAAAAAAATAACATTTATTAGATTTTAGATAAGAAACAAACCCAATGTGTAAAACACTTTTACGTTTCCAACAAGTATTGGTGCTGCTTGTGTTTTTATCTTACTGCTCAGAGGTGGTTAGTACAACACCTGAGTGCCACAAGGTGGCAATATCAGCCAAGGTAAACCATTTCATAAGAAATGTACATACACTGTTTTGATACACAGTCTCTGGAACATCTAAAGCTTCAGCATACCATAAACAAACCATAAACCATACAGCATTATAGCAAATGTCTACTGCATTGTAGACATGATTTGACTTAGATTGAATCAAATGTTAAATACCCTAGACGTTTACAGTTAATAATGACCTTGTCCTTCCAAACTCCTGTTTTATTTGAATTTACAATCCGAATCTCAGGTCATATCTTCCCACTATCTTCGCTGGAAACACAGCACACTGAAGGAACTGAAGGTCACAGCTTTGAAACCAGAAAGATTTTATCGTTAGTATACTCTTTCTCCTCATCTATATTCTATATTTTGGAGATCTCTGTTTGTTTTCATTATACAAGTGCGAGGCTCCCCAGATGGTCAAAGGCTATCGGCCTTCCTGCTACAATGTAAAATACTGAAATTGCTCTTTCAGAAGCCTCTGCAAGCAATTACATGCAGGCTGGTTTTCAGCGCTAAATGACCCGAGGGTGCAATTATGACATCACAGACATCCCCCAATGAATTTGCCAACTTGCTTTACTGATATGATATGCTTGTTGAATATCCCAGTGGAGTGACAAAATACTTGTGTTCTGCTTATTCAGTAGCCTTTTGCGATCATATTAACATTGACAAAAGATGGTGATGTTTATGGTAGCAAATATTTGTAACTCTGGTGATGGAGAGCCAATGGGGTAATCCTTCACAAATGCTCTTTGCTCACAAAAAGTAAGAAGCTTCTTAGCCAAAATGTGGTGGTATTTTTTTCTAAAGAAGAGGGATGGGCTATCCTCATCCTGAAACAACAGTATGTTTTCATTCCAAATGAGCTACTAACCACATAGATGTACTTATCAACAGCTTATTAGGACCAGTTGAAGTCCTAATAAGCTTCTTCCATTTCTTCTGGTGCTAGTGCTTTGAAAAAACATAGAAAAACTACAGACACCCCATTTCTCCAGGACCAAGGTTGCTCTCTTATTGGCATGCAAAAGGAATTTTTAATTAAATGAAATGCAATGAAAGCAGCATGTGTAATAAAAGTCTAATAAATCACAAAATAACTAGGCTAAAAAATGATAAAGACTGTGATTTATGGATCTGCAAATCTCTACATTACAACATGCAACCCAATGAAAGCTTTTGTGGTGTAGGACAAAAAACAATTCACTTGGTTTATGTGCTGCATTATTTGCTGTGGGGTTTCCTATTGTTTCACGGGAAAGCTTGTAACCATGATAAGAGTTTTCAGACTTTTCATAAGTCAAACATTTTGGACAAAATGGCGGTTGCTCGGAGAGCAAAAGGAAGATGTTCGCACATTTCAGCTCTCCTGGAAAGATGAATATGGATTTGTTCAACATAAAAACTGTGCTGTTTGGGCTCTATATTATACCTCAAACTGTATAATGAAAATGAGTTGTGAAATTGATTAATTAATTGCGAGATTAATGTTCTTTCCAACATCGCCACACATACTGTATGAATGAACTCAACCTCTGTCTGTAGGGTGCAGATCAAACTGATAAGGATCTTTTCGATATTTGGAACATATTTTTTGCAAAACTTACCATTGTTTTTCTCAGGACATTGGCACATCAAATTTCTGCTATTTCCCACATTGTTAAAGAACTTTGAAAACATTGCACAACCTGTGTTGCTGAATTTGGAGTGGAGCTGGCATTAGAGTTTTTTGTCAGATTTCTATTGTTTTGGCCTGTGGTTTTCTTTGCTGACTAAACAACTTTGATACCAGATTTTTCAGCAAGGATCACCGAACAGTACGATTTGCATATTAATTTATCACTTTTATATATTACTATATTGTAATATTATTTTTTATTTATCAAAATGTAACTAGGGATATTAATGGCATTAAAAAAAGTATTAATGGCACGCAAATCAGTAAAAACAAGTTTATGAGCTAACTCTTGGCTAATGCCCCTTCTCAATGGTAGGTGAACCTTTCCTAAAGATGGCCTTGGCAAACCAGAGCTTATCCTGTCAGACACCAAGTCTTACCTGTGACCCTCTGTGTACTGGCCTTTGGAGGGGTCTTCTGCCCCCGAGGGTATCAGTGTTCGGAGATGTAAGGATGTCAGCTGAAATGACAGGAACGAACAGGGGTTTCATCCCGATGGTGTACACCATCCTTGGAGGCCTAAGAAAGCCCCGGGTTGGGGGTGAAGGGCCCAGAGAGAGCTTCCCAGCAAGGTCAATAGCTCCTTTGCGGTCCTTTTTACTCTTCCCACCCATGTTACTCTTGGCCATTTTAGCGAGGAAGAAATCGGAGTAGGTGGCTCTGAATAGGCCAGGCAGCCATCGGCGTCCCCCAGTTGCTTCAGAAACAGCAGTGGGAGCCAAGCCCAGGCCTCGCTGGGAACTGGCTTTGAAAGTGGGTAGAGATATTCTCTGTACTTTACCTGTGATGAGTATAGGACTTTGTTGGCAACTGGAAACATTTGCTGTATGCACTGTACTTTCTGAAGACAGAGGACAGAGATGCTGCTCTGCTGTCTGATGGTTTTTACTCAGAGTGTCCACCTCTATGATAGGTTCCACTGTCATCTGTGTGGCCTCAGCAGGTACGTTTTTGTCCCCAACACCATTTGTTTTTGCATCTGTTCCTCCTCTGGGTGTTGCCGGTGTTTTATGTAATAACTCTGGCACAGCAGGTACTTGTGTTGTTTGCTTTACTGGTGTAGATGGCTCTGGTTTCCAGGTTGTGGTTCTTGATGCAGTTAAAACTCTAGATTCAGTCTGATCTTGTGTCTGGTTTGAGGGTACAGATTCCCTCATAGTTTTTGACTCATTTTGGACTGTTGGACCTGGCAGTAGAGTAGAGTCTGATTTAAATAACAGCCTCTGCAATTCAGGATATATGGTGGAATTTACTAGAGGCAGTAGTTTAGTCATTGTGGTATTCATTGCTTTCATCAAATCTCTTGGCTGCACATGCATCTTTAATTTTGGGAGTTCTCCTGACTCTTGATGTGTACTATTACTTGATCCAGTCTCTTCTACCTGTCTCGGCTTTGCAGCAGACATTGTTAGCTCCTTTGGTACAGTTGCTTGACCTGAATGGACACTTAATCCCACTTTTCCATTTGCTAAGTTGGTCCTAGTTTCTCCTACAGTCTTTTTTTCAGAATTTAACCCTGGTCCTCCTGCATTGACTGATAATGTTGTTTTTGCTGGAGTTGTTGTATTACCAAGCCCTTTGGAATCAATTGATAATCCTGTTCCATTCAGTGTGCTGAAACCAGATCCAACTCTTGATTCATACTGAACTTGTGACTCAGAGGTTTCTGTAAGTCCTGTGACTTTTGGCATTTCTGGCTCCACTTCCTGTGTTGTAACATTCGTTTCTGTGAAGTTTTCTGCGTTATTTCTCAATTGTGCTTGCTTATTCATAATTGATGACTTAGATGAATTGGTTGTTGATTTTAACACTGCTGACACAATGTCTTCTATAGCTGGGCCTTCTCTTTGTGTCTGTACCGAAGTGGTGGTGTTGTGTGGATGACTAGGTGCTAAAAGCTGGAGCTCTGTTCCCTGTTGCAGTTTGGACCTTCCTGGATCTCGAATCCCAAATGTCTGAAGAGGCCCCTCTGTCTTGTTGGCAGTCGGATCTATTTGATTGATTAAAGCTGTGGCTGCAGACCTGTCAAAGGCTGCAGCAGAAACTTCACTGGATGTACCCTGAGAAACCTAAAAACAAAATAAAACAGAGTTTATAATTCTGGTTTTCAAAAAACAATACGCACATAATATTTACTGCAAACTTCACAATTCTTTTTGTATCATATTTTATTTATTGCACATGTCTTTATCTCTCTAGATAGGTGGGTGTATACATAATATGGACATAGACTTACACTATATATACAAGTATCACAACATATTTAAATATAGCTTAATCCATGCTGGTCAATGGAGAGCTTATGTACAGTAATGTATTGTGTGAACTACCAGAGTGACGAGGACAGATACATGAGTAAAAGAAATGCTTAGTCTTCCACAAAAACAGAATTCTCAAGTTCTGGCATTGAAGAAAAGAAAGAGAAGAGAAATGTCCATCTCTTCTCTTAAGCTGACTGAACAAGAAAAGGTGTGGAAAAATATCATTAAACTCTGCAGAAAACAAGTACAATTTACAGTATATTAAATCAAATTCAACAAGTCTCCTAGAATTATTAAGTCATGCCATGGTAGAGCAGAACCCAAAGGTACAGCAAACACAGCCACTTTGTTCTTCTGTGAACTCAGAATGGAGAACTATTGGATTTGTACAGCATGTACACAGAACATCAGAACAACATGTCCTTCTGCTTATGATGTAAATAACGATTGAAGGCTCTGACTAGAGACGAAATGTAAAAAACAAATCGCTGAGTATCACACTATTGTAGGAATCCACAATGTTGAAAGTACTTTCGTGTACAATCCAAAATGGAGGTATGTAGGTTGCTAATATTTAACAGTAGTTTATTTCTAGTTTAAAGTAGTTTATTTCTGGCATGCATCAGGGACCACACACAGTGAATTAACCTAAAACCTCAAACCATATTCAAAACAGTTTCAAGCACGAAGATGTAGTCTTTTGATTGGGTAAAGAATGTTTTTTTAAGGAGGTTCTCTAAATGGTACTGTGGTATCAGTGAATGGAACTTAGGTTTGCCATGGAAAACAATCAAGAGGCTCTGGAAGGGCAAGCCAATGAGTTCTGGCTCAATGGCATCAGGACTTGTGGAAGTGAGGCACAGTCCAAGCCCCTACAGCTGCATGCTGCTCACACAGGTCTCCTCACCTGCCTGCGGGACTTTGGAGGATAAATCTTTCAGTTCACCTGACTATTGGGTTTAACCAGTAACCACATTCTGAGAAAAAGTGTTTTCAGCCTGTGTCTAGCTCCTGATCTCCAGCCAGGGATATACAGTGTAGTGGGGTGCAAGGAGTTTGTGGGATTTTGCTTGGATGGGTGTATTCCTCCCACATTTGCCTGGTAACATGATGAGCCAGTTTGTTGTTCTTTGAGTTCAGGAGTGCCAAAAAGCTTTAAAATATAGTTTGGTCCCATAACTGTGCATGAAATAGTAAACATGTCTATTGCTGAGGTACAAGATCTGCAAAGACTTTAACTAAATCCCAGTTATACTGAACATTCCTAACACGTATGGTCCTCAATCACCAGAGTCCACACTTTCTAAGTCCTGGTTCTCAGTCAGACTCACTTGTGTTATAAATGCAAGCAGCAGAAGCAGAGAGCCATTAATTTGCAATGTTCACATAAACTGTTGACGATTGTTTGCAGATGGATTCCTTCATTTCTAGGCAGTGTTTTGTCTGTTGTTGATAATAGTGAAAGAATATGACCCTGATCAATATGTCCTGTGCCAGCATCAATACACATGAATGCCCTGCACACATTCTGTCATGGTAACATCTCAGAAGCGCAGAACTAACTGACTTTTAAAGCAGTTTGCTTGCTGAAAGGTATGTTTAGTAGTGTGGAAAGTGACACTGATAGTGTAGGTCATTCAACACGAAACTCCATTGCAGAAAATGCCTATACTGTAGAACTGTACCACAGTTGTGTCTAGGATTTGCAGTATTTAAGGTAGGATGGCAGTGATTCAGTTGAAAACACACATTGTGTATGTATAATATAACAGAGTTCAGTGGCATTGAACTTCCACTTGAATCTTATTCCTCATATCAGCCGGATGGAAAAAAAACTGACAATATTTAAGAATGACAAATGGAAAGGAATTCCGAGAGGAACACCTCACAAATACCAGTGACATTACAGAATGCACTAATAACATGTAGAACTCTATAAATAACAGCAGTCAAAAGAAACTCATCTGAAAATATATGCAGCATACTGTAATCTAAAAACATGAATGATAATCTAAAAACTTAAAAACACAAACCAAAATCACCTGAGATTCAAAATCACGTCTTGTGCACATGGTGCGGTATTTCTAATTGAATGAGTGCCATAATGATTAAGACAGCTCCAGTACCTACTGTACTGCTTACCAGGCTCTAAAGAAAAGAAAACATGCTTATACTGTATGTCTTCTGTGTATGTGGAAAAGCAAAAGAAACACACTATAAAATGATTGTTAGATTTCAGTAATATGTGTTGTTTTAGAAGGGAGACAGCAGAACATGCATACAGTATATCCATTTTTTGACTGCACTGTCCAGTGTTATTGGACTATTTAGATTGACTTCTCATGAAATGTGAAACTACTGTAAGTGCTTTTTCACAAACTTAGCACCCTCCTCCAGACTCAGCCTCCGACCCATTACAGTTCATCTGGAGGTCGGAGAGTACAGAAAATATTACTGTACATACAGTAGACAGGGGATTCAGCCTTTCATCACTATTTCAACTCTTCTTTCATCTACATTAAGGTACTGCTTCTAGCATTATTTAGATAAGGAGTCTGTTACATAAAATACTTTCATTTGATTGGCTTGTGTTCTGAATCTTTATATAGAGAGAAATGGTAGGATAAAGCCAGAGAAGACAGAGGCCACTATATTGACTTGATGTACCTCCCGTTTGTGCCCATAATGTGCAGGAGAACATGCAGGACAACATGATACCTAATGTAAGTGCATGAAGCTCAGGCACATAAGGCTAAGCAAACCAATGGTCTTATTTGTGTGCGGACAAAAGTTCATTGCCCCACTGAGCATTGTTTTCACAGGAAAGTTGATTGATGAGCATGGATAACTTTATAAGCCCCCCTGTGTACAGTAAGAGTAAAACAGTGCACATTTAAGTCTGGCTTAAGACCAAACTCTGTCTCTACATGGTCTTGGAAATATTCAAACTGCTCAAGGAAAAACAAAATTTGCTCTTGATTTTTGTCACTGTTTTCTTCATAACATGGAACTAAATTAGCAATGCTGCAGTCTTCATATCTGCCAGCACTTGGCATAAGCTGGCACAGGTGTAAGCTTGTGGTGACAGTACTAAATACTGTGACCTTTAAAATTTCTGTCTTGATCATTAATGGGTCTTCTCAGACCCCAGAAGCCACTGGTTTTATCATTTACATCAAAACAGAATGCTAACGCTAACATCAGGCCCTGAAGAAACAATGAGTTAATTATTTTTTTTAAACGTGCCTAGTTGTTAATTAACAAATGTACATAAAGGAAGCCATCATATGCTTTCCTTCTTTATACAGTACCACAGATAAAGCATTTACAAAATAAAACTGACATATTAAACAGGAAATGCAAGAGAATGAAGACAATACTGAAGTTTTCAAAATTTTAAAGAATTAAATGAGCAATTTACACTAGCTGATTGTGACTGGCTTCATTACTCTAGTCTAAGCAAGTAATTGAAAATTACAGAAAAGCCATTATAATGCTGTTCAAAGCTGCCAAGCTGACCAATATCAGATCTTTAGCAGGTGGCTGCTATTTTTAACAAACAGGCATGAAATAGTTCAAAACCACATTGCACCAGTCCAGAGTTATGTGTTGTTATGACAACTAAGTACAGAGAAGTATACGTGTAAAACACACTTTTGATGGGGGTGAACAAACAAATGTTGTAATTAATTCCTTTTCCCTATCTGCATACTCTATGTGTACTGCCATATTTATCAAGGGACCATTATAAAGCCATCTCTTCTCCATGCTTTTGTCTTAAAGAGAGAAATAAACATTTCAGAACAAAATGTGTGCCTTAGTTTTGCTCCCAGATACCTCAAAACAAAAACTAGCCATGTAATTGCCATGTCATACAGAAAAAGCAGTTAATTGGTGATGGAAAAAAGCTTCAAGAGCAATTAAGTGTTTTTCTATTCAGCCACTGCAAGACAGATGAGATTCATATTAATTCATGCTCACACTATTTGGTGAAGAAAAGGGACTTGTGGCATGACTCCCCATTTAAGACCCTTCTCTAACACAGTTCATGGTTTGTTGCTCTGAGCATGATCAGTGTTCAGGAAGAACTACAGGAGCTCAACAGTGCTCTACCTGTTTCACTGTGTCACTGTCTGGAGCTGTCAGCATGAGGCAGCTGGAGTTATAGGACTGGCAGTGGTTTTTGACAGTTGTGCGGCCACTCATCACAAAGGTTATCTGTTGAATTGTGCCCTGTAGCAGAATAAAACAGTGCGTTAAAGTGATGTGACCATTTTTACATACAAAGAATGCATCCAGTCTCAATTGAGACATATTTGGCAATATAAGGAACAGCAATATGATGGTTTCACATAAAGTACTTGTCCCTGTGTGAGATACTTAAACAAGTAATAGCATGTGTTCTAGCCTTTTGAATTAATAAGAGACTGCATGGGCTGATTCTGTCTAGCGACTCAACAAATTAACACCGCACATATTAATACAGAATGTCTATAAGACACAGGTGGTAAAAGTCTGCTTATGAAACATGAAACTGGCAAAATGCACAGTGAAAACAACGTATGTCACCAAAATGGCCGGACTCAGAAAGAAAAAAAGGCAGGCTTTTATGATTTCTTAACCACTAAAATGGGACTGCACTTGTTTAAAATAACCCTATCCTCACTATGTTTAGACAAAACCCAGTCCGGCTGATCTACCTTTCCTGTGGCCAGAATGGGTTTTGTAAAAACAAATTCTTTCCTGGGTTTACCATATGACTCTACAGTATATGCATTATTCTGAGTAAGCTGCTTATCTGTCACCCTTCTGATCATAAGCAAAACCACTGTCCTATTGCAATTGATTCAGCAGCGGGTGTTACTGTATATATCTGTCAATCTGTATATACTTATGCACATTTTGCACACATTTTATTGTTTTTACAGTGACTATGAGCATATTTCGCACACATATGTATTTATCTTATATTTATTTTGCATTGCTGTACGTATTTTAATTTTTCGTCTGATGTCTGTTTTTTTTGCCTGTCTTGGGCTGGACTGCTGTAACACATCAATTTCCCTTCGGGATCAATAAAGTCTTATTTATCTATCTATATTGTCCCCCAATCCCTGGATGGGGGAATTTTGGATAGAACCATGTGCCTATGACTACATATTTTTTCAGTTTTGGAATTGCTTATATATTTTTATTATCTACCAACCTAAACTGAAACCTTCAACTATGTTAAGCTTCAGTTCTCTGAGCAACAGCTCTTCAGAAGCTCCTGGGTGGATGAGGACCTATAGATATGCTCCCCATGTTGGCAGTTGGGTTAAAGCTGACTGGAGGTGTGGTTTCTAGCTGACAAGCTCACTGTACCTGACACAGGAGCTGAGAGAATGGCTAATGCCAACCGCACCCCACTGGCGATCTGCCACATGGCTAGTTCCAGTCCTAGTTGGCCTATGACATGGCCCCATGGAGCAGAGATTGGGCCATGGAGCTCAACTTACACTCTGAGCAAGTGTCTTCACAAAATTATTCACTGTATGGCTAATTATTATTCTATGTCCTTTAGATAGAAAAGACCAAACACACATTTAAGGACCTGCTATCGAGTGATATTTAGTGTTTCTACAATCAAGAAAAAAAATAGTCCACTGTCACATTGCTTGTCCCAGAAGGGTCATTAACCCCCTTTTCTCAGAGAGTTGTAAAGAGAAGCCTTGTCCTGTGACCACTGAGTGTGGTGGTTGTATACTAGCTTTCACCTCACAGGTGTTTATATTTCTTACTCAGGCTCAAATCTTTGGTAATTCGGTGAAATGGCCTTGGCTGTACTTCATACCTCAGCTCCTCTCTGTATTCACATAACAGAGAGCACAAAGCCAGCTGTGGAGTAGAGCTGAATAAATTAGGGAAATAGTGCCATTTTCTAGGTATTGGCACGCTATAATTAGAACTTCACAGCATTTAGTTATAAGGTCTCAAAGACATGTTGAGACGTTACTTACAAGCTGTTTCTATTTGCAGTTCTCTTAGCTAAAGGACACTTAACACTCACTTTTTCTTCAAGGTTTCATCAAGGTTTCTTCAAGTATAATTTCTGGAGAATTCCATATTTCATACAGTATTTATAGTAAAAATCCATATTTCATACAGTATTTATAGTAAAAATCCATATTTCATACAGTATTTATAGTAACAGCTCAAAATGGTGAAACCCACAAACAAAACTTACGAATTTTTTGTATTTTTATTAATTCAGAGTTTTTCTTAAAGAATCTCTAGCTTGATTAATAATTACAGGCATTAAGAATGTTTATTTAAAAAGTGATTTTGCCTATGATAATCTGTATAACTGTTTTCTACAGTCATTTATTTGATATAACTTGATGGTTTTCAGACATTTTGGAGATTTGTTCTCCTTATACTTTAAGTACTGATTGATAAAAATACTGAAGAATTTTTATTAACCTGACCTACACGCTTTCAAAAATGAATTAACAATATATTAGTTGTAAACGTATTATCATATAAGATTAAATTGGTTGAAGGATTGAGGTTAGCTTGTGAATTTTAACCTTTTTTGTCTCTTTCCCAGTGAAATGTTACTTTTTTATGCCACTGTCTGTGGGAGTCTTTTTTTTAGACATACAATATGTACATGAAAATAATGAGATACATAGATCTACAGTATTTCAATAGTGCTGAAGATGTATACTGTACGTTGTAACTTTGCCATATTTGAGGATTTTGGAAAGGTCATTATATTGAGCCCATCTTTTAGAAATGTATCTGTTATCTTGTCAAGGAACTGGCTGGACATCCACACACTTCAGAGAACACTGGAAATTCTGAAGAAAAAAATCTACAAACTAACTGGCCAGGATACCAATAGGAAACTACATCATGTATCTCCTCCATAATTCCTGTACGGGGAAGTGTCTGGTCAAATCGGACCTGGTGAGGTAGGACATTTGATTTGCTGCTTTTGCTCAGTTGTGAATTACACTGAGAAGATGAGATGAAGTGTTTCTGTAAGTGTTCTGAATTGGAAGTCAAGGAGAAAGGAAAAGGGGAAATAAATGATCAAAGATACCTGTAAAAAGGTTCCAGAGTTCTTGGAATGCATTATTGGGATTGACTAACTTTTCGTAGTTCAAAGGGCCTTGAAAACACTTGTGTGATGTTGTCAAGCTATTGTAAAAAAGGCGTGACATATATTGTGACATGTTTAGCGCTTGTTTGCATCTTTTGGCAGAGACCCTTGAAAAGGGGCTTGCTGTCGATCCAATGTTCCCATTTGAAAGGTTTGGTCGCATTTGCTGCTAGAAAAACCACAAGAAAATAGGCAGGTCAAATAACTTTCAGCATTAGTGTTTGCAGTGTAGGCTGAAATGTAACAACCACATTAGAGTTACCTAGCCTAGTGAGCCTCAAAAAGAAATCTCATGTAAATGAACTGTCAGTGTGCTCAATGTTTCTACCTTTAAGCAATAACGATTTTGGGGGATATTTTTAGATTTCAAAATGAAACAGAAGTTTTAATTCAAACCACAGTGAGGACTAAATGATCTGTGAATGTTATCTAATACTGAAGTTACTTTTTACAAAGATAAGTAACATCATGGACAAAACACATAGAAATGACTAAAGAATTACCTTCTGATATTACTTCAAACATATGCTAATAATAATGCTATCCAGCCAGCTATCCAGATCATTATATTAGTCATCCTTCATTTGTAACCTTCCTGTTGTTCTTATGATGACTTTTAAAAGTGTTACCAAACAAAGAGAAGATTTCAGTAGGACTATCATAACTGCAACAGATAGTTTTACAACTGAAGTGTTGCTTTCAAGAACATGTCTTAACATTTGGGTTAGATTACGTTTCCTGGTTAACCCGAGTATTATTGAGGATTTAAAGGCAGCAACCTGTGATTAGATATTTTAGAATTACTGTTTTGTTGCAGAAGCTGGTTTAATATATACAATAGGGTGTATTGAACATGATGAAAAAGAGTAGGATTTTTCCAATGCTTTAGAAATAATTTACATACTAATTTACATACTAACAAATGCATTGTTTTAATTAATTGTATTACTCGGTGTCATGATCAGATTAATGTAAAATCACACTGCACAATGTTCTCTGTCATAGTTAAACCTAAAATCTGTTTGAATTTGGCAGCTTTAACCACACAATAAGAGAGATCCAGCTATTATTGTACTCAGTGGTTAAATTGAGATAATTTTTCTAGAGATAGAAAGAAGTTAAAATCACATAAATTAAAATCAACATGACTTTCTAAATTAGTCTTGGTCTATGGATACCTAGTCCTGTATTTAAAGAGAATTTTAGTGCCAAATTTTTTTTACAGAAAGTTGTCAGTGCATCCAAAAATTCAAATGTTCGGCATTCAGCTGCTGCTTTGGATTCTGAGATCATTTTCCTAATCTCCTATATTTTAATGAACAAAAGGCTGTGTTAACAATACATGAAGAGTTAATACTTTTGTATTACCATGAGCCATATCCATGTTAAAGACACTGAACAGTGTGAAAATATAAAATGAACAATATTGTCATATTGCCACCAAGTGTTCACATTTATTTACCCATACTGTAGTTCAGAGTTCATAAAGACCCACCTTGACATTTAACAAATAAAGCGATTTCTATGCACTGCTATTTCATGAAACAAGGCAGCATTCATTCATGATTTCTTGGACTGTCTGGGAACTATCCGTGGTCTGATGGTTTATTTAATTTCTTCTCTATAAAATCCCTTGCATGAAGCTAAAAAATCATGAACGTTTAGTGCATGGACAGAAGATTTTCAAAAAGTTTCTGCACATAAGCATCGGAGCTTGGTAAAATCAAATGATCTATTAATGCATAGAACATGACTTGAAAGAGTCTGCCAGCATTACTATGTATGTAATGCAATGGTGTACTTTAGGTACATGAAGATATTTACATAAATATGTACATAGTTGCAAAAACATCTACATTTGCAATAAAAATAAAAATGAGTACATACAGTATACAGGATGCATTACCTCTTTAAATACACACCACACTACAGTATATCAGCAATAACACCATAATTGCTTCAATATAACCCATCTTATGTCAAAAATACATACAAGATTGAAAAAGTTCTACTTACACAGCAGAGTAATACCAACATCACAGATAAGCCCTGCATCTTGGTAAAGAAAAAGCCAACTGTTATCCTCATGCAACTCCAGAAAGTTGCCCTCTTCAAAATCCAGACACTGCTACAAGCTCTTCCAGGCAACCTGTGTCAAGCAACCAAATGCCATGCTGCCAACTCTAAGAAAAAAATAATCTTCCAAGAGACTTTTCCCAAATAGTCGTCCACTTTTCTCATTCAGATAAAAGAAGATAAACTTTGCCACGAAGAATAACGACTAATATTTTTAATTCTTTAATATTCTATTGCATTTTGCATTCTGTATTATTGCCTTTTTGTTCATCCACAATATATGGACCCTGAGGACAGACAAGGTTTTATACAGTGAGTAGGGGCCTACAGGTCCTATAGCTGACGTAGATGTGGGATATTGCAGACAGTGAGGGCTGGCAAGAAGGATGGACATGATATACCACTGAGACACCGCCCACAAGCCGCTGTCCGCACAACACCTTGTAAAGTCAGACGGTTGAGCCACACAGGCACAGACAAAATAAAACTAAATAAACAAAAAACACCACACAGTTATCCCAGAAACCCCTTACCTTGTTTGAATACAGAATACAGGCTCTTCTCTCACAGAGCTGTCTGTGTGTGCATTTCTGTAGAGATTTGTCAAGGCAACAAAAATAACAGAACGGGCAGTAAGAAGTGCAAAATCCAGGTTTTATTCCACCTTATATAAAATAAATCTTTTTAGCTTTCTTCACAGAGTATTCAATACAGTTAATAAAACAGCCTTTTTAAACTTGCTTCACATTTTAAAGTTTCTGTCACCCTACATATATGCATATATTATACGCTCATTGATTTTGACTAGAATATACACACTTGAATGCTAAACTCTCTTAGAAATTCCAGCATTGACCTGGAGATTTCCAAGTTGTACGCCAAGAGTTCACACTTAGAAAAGTGCATACCTTCCCCCAGACATTAGCTTCTTTCCATTGACAATTGAAATTCATGAATCACCTAGAAGACCACACCTGGTAGACTCTAGTTCATTGAAGCACTCATTCATTACAGTATCCAGCTGGACCCAATGGATGATCTTTAAAAGACATTACAGTATTAAGGTAAATATAAAACAAATGTTGTTTTTATAAACTATCAGGTAACACAAAACTGTTTTCTTCCATATTCCAAGGTATGAGTTTAATACTTTGTGCAGGAAAACTATTTTTTAAATTGACAACATGATAAATGTGTTTTCTAACATTTATGCCTAAAGCAAGTATGGATCCCTTTTTCTCCTGATTTGAAAGCTGTGAGTTTTAAAACAAGAGATGGATCTTTCCAGAACAGTTTTTTTTCTCCTCAATAGATGCAGTGCATACCTAACAGTAGGAAGTAAACACGCATTCCACAAGATATATTCCCTCAGCAGTACAATTCAATAATGTGTTTGTATTGTGACCATTTGCTCCCATGTGTGACACTCAATTGAGCTCTCTTCTCTGCGCCATCCTTCTCTATTTGTATCCGAGGAGTGGACCGGGGCTGCGGAGTGTGTGAGGAATGTGACACACCAGTCTGAAAAGCAGCTGACTTACTGTAAAGGGTGTGTGGAAGGGTCAGAACTTACATGGTCCCATCCAGCTCAGGGTGATTACTCCAGGGCATATCCTTCCAGAAGCGGGGGATTAAAGTACACCTCCAGCCAAGAGAAGGAGAAACTGCCAATGCCATGATGACAACCTAAAAGACAGCATTATGGGAGGATGGCACGTGCATTGCACACAACACAAAGTGTGTCAATGGACACAGATCATGAAGTTCACTTACTGATCTATTTTTCCGCTTTGCAGTTTGACCTGTCTGCTCAAGATACAAATCTGTTGTTTGAAGCACAGTTTTCATTTGTTAGTGCGATATATTTCTTGTTTTTCTTTGTTCTTTTTTTTAAGTAGCTATTTTGTGGGCACCTTTTCTGTTTAGGTAAACTTCGGACGTGCGAAAGTTTGTAAATCAGGTTGTGATTCAAGGAATATGAAGTAGGAGTATGAATATGTTGTTCCACCCAGGGGACAAAATTCTTTTAACAAAGGATGTTACTTCTAAGAAGGAGAGGGAGAAGGTACTGTGCATCAAACAAAACACTTTATAGTAGTCAATATAATCTCCTCCAAGACTACTTAAAATAAGTGGGCTTGATTTCTAGCCCTCCTGAAAGCTGTAAAACCATCAACAGTGCAACAGTAAAACTGCCTATGTAATTAAATTAATATATGTGCTGTATAAATGCAGTTGCAAAAGTACATAAAATGTTTTTCCCTCCTTGAGAATCTCCTGTGACAATCATAGCGTTCTCCCCTAAAGTCCAGCCAGGTGTACGGGATTGGTTAGCCTGGTAGTAACAGCCCCAAGTGGTGATGAAAGTGACCTGCCTGTGGAACCTGTCACACCAGCTGCAGCACCTCCCCCTTGGAGCTCAGTACTGCCAGTAGACTAGTCTTCTGCTGCCCAAACACCTGCAGTCCCACTGCTCAACTTGTTAGGCACCCTTCCATTAAAACAGAAGAACTTGAGAAATGTTGCAAAACAGAGGAGGTCATTTGGAATATTTAGCCTTTTCAGTAGTAAGCTTGAAGCTAATTGATCCAAGGATCTTGGCTTGGTATCAACTTCATCAACATGGCTGGGTAGCTTGTTCCAGGCATCCACAACCCTTTGCATCAAGCCATGCCTCCTTTGCTCATGAATACACGTCTGTGTACTTTCCACATTTCCCTCTGGTTTGTTTTCTACTGTTAATTCTGAAGATGTCCACTGGGTTTACTTTGTCAATGCCCTTGAGAATGCTGAATACTTCAATCAAGTCCCCATATTGTCTTATCCAGTAAGGGCTAAAAACTTTCTATTCTTTTAGCTTATGAAATGTATAGTTTCCAGACTCATTCCATAACAGCAATTTCATTTTTGATATACTGTGATAACAATAACCAGAATTATATGCAATTGTGATGATAAATGTAGGGCTTTGTTCAATGCCACCTATTGTAGTGAAAAAAAAACAAGTGGCTGAACTGTTTAATTGGTATCCCATGGGCATAAAATGCCACAGTTGGAAAAAAAAAACCTGTGTTATTGGGTCTGTGGCTAATTGACCACTCCCCTGGATCACTAATACAGTATTAGCATCCAGGACGAGAGGGGCAAAGAGTTTCCATCTAGGCACCTCCAGTAATGGAAAAGTGAGTTTTTAGCTGGTGTGTAGAGTCTGGCTAGCACAGGTGTTTGGCTCCTTTTGGCTCCTGTGCTTTAACACCAGGAGACAGGCTTGCAGTCTCTGTGTCAATGAGGGTTTCATATGAATGAGATTAAGGATTTGTGAGTTTTGAAACAAAGATCAAGGCCCAGAGTGATTTGTAGCTTATTCATTTGAGCAGACTATTCTAGCATTTAGTTGATAAGGTTCCAGTGTCTCATTAGGGAAGGTGATTCATACTAATTAATGTAAAGTTGGAAGACTGGGTGAAAAAGATTATGCCAAATTAAGTGCACCTGGTCTGGGTAGAAAAGGGACAAGTTTGTTTTTCATCTAATGGAAAAATATGGAGTAATCGAGTGGGAGGCTGGAACGGGTGGACTCCTGAGATGGACAGAAGATGAGTGGAAGAGGAATTAAAGTGATTGTGCTACTTTAAAGGTCTGAGGGATGAATAACTGAATGGTGATCAGTGCAGGCTTCTCTGAAAGGGGACCACCGGTACATCCCTGAGCCTAGAGGGGTTCCATCTAACTGCAAGTCACAACAGCAATATTTTAAATTAGGTCTAGCTATTGCATAGTACAATTTTACCATAATATCCCTTGCTTTAGACTCTACAGCTGTAGGTGATTTTGAAATCTCCTCAAAAGAGGGTAAGATCAGTGCTTAAACAAATAATTGGATATTGGTGACCAGCTTTTGAATAGTTTTAATCAATTTGAATATGAGGAAAACACAGAAACTAAATTTTCAGCATTGTGCACATTCTCATACTCCACATCTGTTTGAAATTTGGTAATACATCTCATATATCTGCCTTTTTTTAAATGTGTCTGTGACATAAAAATAGGACTGAACAGAGGTCTTGATAGTAGGCGCTCAGTAACAAGTTGAACCATTAATGTTTTCTGGAAGGTATTAAGGAAACCACCAAATGCCTATGGAAATGCCAATGTTGAATACAGGTGAAATGAAGGCGAGAGGTAAAACAGGCAAACTAGAATGATGGAGGAAAAAAGAAGGGTGAAGTCATTCAGAGAACAGAGCTCAGGAAAAGATGAGTCAGCTAACAGTAGACAGAGAAATGCACTTATATTCTGGGGCAAATACAGCGATAAGGAGTCTTTGATTAAGTCAGGACATAGTTATGGAAGTTAGATGCAAGAACATGGAACTCCAAAGAAAACCAGAGAAAGCTTCTTGAGTGACTGGCTAGCTAGCTGCTATCCAAAGAAGAAACAGCGAGGCTATCACAGGTGGTGGCAGTGACAGGATGATGAAGGATGAAGATGAGGATGGATGATGTTGTGAAAGGCCTGGTACATTCTGTGGTTTCACAACAGAAGGCCATCCTGGTGCAGCAGAAAGCACAATAGATGTTACAGGCCCAAAGACTGGCACAGCCAGAAACCTGAATCCAAATATCCTCTAACTGGTGTTACCTCATGTTAATGAGAGACTCATCTTGCTGACTGATGCATCAGAAAACTGAATAGGATATCCTAAATAAAATCTGGAGAAGATCTACCTTTTCCTATATGTCAGCCACAAAGTTCTCTCAAGAGAACTTGCATAGAAGGAAAAATGACCAACAAGTCCCTGTGCTACAATCTGTTGGGCAGAGATGGTACCCAGGTAACAGACCATCTGCCTTTAACCTGGATGAAAATTAAAGAAGATAAAAGTGATATACTGATGCAATGGTTACACACCTTGCAAACATGCAGGTTCTCCATTGAGCAAAGACTTGGGGCATGCCATAGCAATCCAGATGCCTTTTCTAAGGTCTACTGCCCTATTT